ATCCATTAGATAAGTGGATTATTTATTATTTTCAGATTCCTGTCAAAAAACTGAAACATCAGTGAATTTATCATCAGATTCAACAAATAATGAGGTAATCTGTGCAATCATAAGCACAAAATTTGTTAATAAAACATTTGAAAATCGATGAAAAACTTTAAGAAACCGTATTCCCCAGAATGAGACTTGATAAGATATCGTTTGTTGCTAAATAAGATTTGCTCATTCGTGTATTTGGGTCACAATATATGAAAAATCATAGAGAAACGCATTTTGTGAATGTAATTTCTAGAAAAATTAGAGAACTAGATAAATTGTTAATTGAAATAAGAAAAAAAAAGATCAATCGGTGAAACATTTATTAGGTGCACTTAATCCGAAATATTATAATCTTATAGTGTCAGCTACAAAGGTTGTAGGTAAATATGACTCGGAAAAAGATAGATAGATAGATTTGATTTGCCTACATTTGCAATGAATATTTCTACTGGCATAAACCAGTGCTGCAATATAGCATTTATGCTTGCATTAAAAAAAAAGGGCCATACATAGAAGTAAACACTGCTGAAATAGAAGCGGGCCTCAAAACTTTGATACACCTTATAGATTCTAATTAGAAATATGATGTTTCAAGTCAGGCTGCGACCGATCTAAACAAAAAAATTGGAATAAAGTTACCATAACACCTTTAGCAAATGATTTAAAAATTAAAAAAAAAATCTTAACAAACATGCTGAAGAAGTTGCCAATAAAATTAAGGAAGGTTCTTATCATCTTAGGGTATACATACAATTATTAGAGACAATATATTGCAGAGTTTTGCTACTGAATCGGCGCTAACCTGGGAAACTTCAAAGAATTACGCTACATGATTACTTGGAAAATGACCCAAATACTTCTGAAAAATATAAAGAATTCGATCGGACGCTAAGTGAGTAGAGTGAGTTCTAGTAAAAACATTTAAACGAGTTGTTGTTAGAGGCAAACGAGGACGTGGGGTTCCCGTGTTATTTAATAAAGAAGTTCGAGATGATATAAAACTTTTGCTTACAATAAGAGACAAATTTGTTTCTACAACAAATAAATTACTGTTTGCGAACCCAGGATTTGAGAACTCGATATATGGTTATAAAGTTTTGGAAAGGTACTCGAGGTTATCTGGAGCAAAAAATTTGAAAGCAATTTCTTCCACAAGACTGAGAAAACATTTAGCGACGCTATCACAAGTATTTAGTATGTCTGAAAATGATCTGGAACAATTAGCTACGTTCATGGGGCATACTAATGAAGTTCATAAGAAATCGTATAGATTGCCAGATGACGTGTATCAAACTGTTAAAATTTCAAAACTTCTAATACTTATGGAAGATGGAAAAGCAGATGCTTATAGAGGGAAAGGTTTAGATGAAATAGATTTAGATCTAAATGAAGAATTGCAGGGAGAAGAAAGAATTGTAAATGATGACATTTTAGATTTTGATTTACCCACACCACGCTTGTTAGTTGAAAATTCTTGTATACAACCTAGACTTTGGATTGAAAATAAAATATCTGGACTTAATCACCAGGTAATGACAATAACAGATAAAAGAACTGAAAAAGGGAAAAAGAGAAACTTAGTACCCTGGTCTATGAAATAAAAGAAAGTTATTACCAAATTTTTCAAGAGCCATATACAAAATAAAAAACCTCCCAAAAGACCCAGACCAGACCCAGAACTGTTACAAAATAAAGACTGGCTAAAAATTAAAGTTTTTATTCAAAACATTTATTCTAAAAAATAGCATAATTATCATGACATTGGTTTATTTGAAGCAAACTTACTTAAAAAACTTGTTTATCTTTTCATATGACCCTTTATTTAAAATATACATATATTAATATAATTAAGATGTGCGTGTAAGTGTTCAATCTAAGTAATATTATTTATATTAAGCTACAGATTTATTAAAGTTGCTGATGTTGAGTGATGAAAATTAAATAGACATTTATTTTATTTTACTATAGATTTAACAATGTGATTTTTGTTAAAAAAAAATTGTTAGTTAATGTTATTATAAGAGGTCTTGTTTGTTTTTATAACCTTTTTATTTTTTTATAAGTTTACAGATTGTAGTGATTTTCTTAAAAAGATAAAACAAATATTTGATTGTAATTATAAATTCTATTATGTAATTAAAAGTGTTTATTAGCTTTGTTTTGAATAATTATTTTATTTCATAGGTTTAGAATTTTGCCGATTTTGTTAGATAAATAAAATAATAACGTGCTTCGATTTCAAAATGTTGATGCTTAATGTTACTGTAAGAAATCTTATTTGTATACATTACATTCATTTAACAGATTTTAGTACTGATTTTCTTAGACAATTTATAAAAGAATATGACTCAAATAAAGAAATACTTTTGTTTAATGTTATTATGAGAAATCTTATTTACTTTGTTATCAATAATTTTATTTAATAGATATCTGTACAAATTTTTTAAATAAAACAAGAATGTGTTTTTAGAAAAAAAAACTTTTAATTAAAGTACACCTTGCATGTACGAGTATGCAAATTTAAAAAGTATATGGAAGTACGTAAAATATCGTATGATTTCCATTATACAGAGACGACGATTTGAAGTTAGTTAAATAGAATACATAACATACGAAATATACGGTGCACCATATAGTGTCTGTCTTAAAAGGACGCATTTAAATTTACACAAAATACTGTAAGTATACGAATATACTGAGTGCTGCATGATCTGCGAGACGAATGGACGCATGAAGTTTGCATGACATACAAACTATATACGGAATATACAAATGTGCCATATGATTCCCGCTATGAACGGACTCCGGAACGTCGGCTAGAAATATTGAGAATTGAATATTGATATCTGTTATTTAAAAGAAATATAATTATGAGTACTGATTTTAGCACGAAATAAAGTAATAATATTCACTTTCAAAACAATTGTAATTTTACTGGAAGTGGGGGATGCAATAAGTATCGGAAGTGAAAAGACGCAAGAAGTCGTCTGCGATTTAAATATATATATATATATATATATATATATATATATATATATATATATATATATATATATATATATATATATATATATATATATACATAGGATTTAATACTAATTATAGTTAGGACATCCAAACATATGTAAAATAATATCGTATATAGTGTGTGTGAAGTGTTAAGTGTTGTTTCTTGCGGATTCTCCTCAGCAGATTACAACTTTCTGAACCCAGCAGTAGAATTATAAAATTGACGATTTAACTGTTTCGCCCATGATACCGCCCATGCGTTGCCATTCCTGAGGACTCGGGTATTATTCCTCTGTACCCAGTAAATTCACGCCATATCCCACCCTTCAAACCGAAACGCAGCCATGCTAACACAACTGTTTCACGGTAGAAACACGAATGAGATAGAGGTGGCCAAGCAAACGACTTTTGTACAAAGTCTCCCTATGGTAACCAATCTGAAGGAATTTTGAAGTGTGAAATATAAAAAAACTGCATTATATGTAATGATAAAATTTGCGTGCAATTTGCTCAACTTGTGCATGTTAGTAATAATAACTATAACGGTAATTCAATAGCGTTTTACAACTAGTCACGCTAATTGCAATCATTTCCATGTAATTATGCCTAACGAAGTGGCAGTTCGGATGACTTGGCGTCATCATTATTAATTGTTCTTGTACTGTGTTTGTTTTTTTTTTATTTTTATACTCGTTTATAGTCTAAGATCTGGCCACTGAATTTTGCATGTGTAAAAGATAGATAGATAGATAAACTTATTTGCATTACTTACAGCATATAAATAATAACAGACATAAATAGACATGCACAGTAAAAAAATATAAATGTATACATTGGTATACAAAACATAAAGAAAAAAATAAAATGTATAAAAGAAGTAACAATTTTTTTTTCTTAATGCGTGTGCTGTGTAACACAATATGGTCGCAACTCAGCTTACTGCTTTGCCCTAAAAAGAGCATAACACTGATATTCTGTTGTGGCCAAAAGCCAGCCACGAAATTTCTTAGAAAAAATAAATAAGAGAAATATAGATAAAATATGTATATTGTGTGTGTGCTGATTACATTTACTGTTATTTAATATTTAAACTTTATTGAAACCATGTTTCATTTAAACTTTTTCAATGAAAGATGGATGAAAATATAATAAAATACACCCAGTTAGCTGCAACCTGGTTATCAGATTGTAACACTTACTTGCGGCCAATATTTTTAATGGAAACCCTACGTTATTGTATAAAAAAGAATAAACTTACATTTAATGCAGTCTTTTAAAAAAATCCCTGTAGTACAGCCCCAACATCTAAAACAAATCTTAAGATGCTGGCAACCCAAGGACTATTTTGTTATAACAGGCGACCATATGTAACTATATAGAGAACAGTATAATTGATATGATGCTAATTGATATATATATATATATATATATATATATATATATATATATATATATATATTTATGCAACTTAGAATGGTAAACAAGCTTACGACCCACTTGATGGAAAGTGGTAACCGTCGCCTATAGACATGAGCAGTACCATAAACATAACAGAGTATACTGTTTCGCTCACGATACTCTCCATGCGTTGCCATTCCTGAGGACTCAGATGTTATTCCTCTGTACCCTGTAAATTCACGCTATATCCCACCCTTTAAACCGAAACACAGCCATGCAAACACAACTGCTTCACGGTAGATAAGAATGGGACAAAGGTGGACTAAAGCAATATTATTACAAGTAAGTGTTACCTAGCAACACTTTTTTATCGTTTCAGATAAAGAACTTTCCAAATCGGTGTATAATTACAGAGTTAAGAGGTAACAAACGTCAAAAAAATATACCTAACCTAAATGAGAATCCGCTTTTTTTAAGTCGGTTAAAAATTTGCTCTGTTTGCAATTTCAAATTGAATTAAATATTTTCTCGCTGTCATGAAATAAAGTACTTACCAGCAGTTTTTATGATATTATTCAACACCTCATCAGGTATCGGTTCTGGACTGAAGGCCCTGACGGTCCGTCTCTGGGCCATCAGCTCGTAGTACTCCCGAGATCTCCGCAAGATCTCCTCGTCGGTCCTCTGGGGAGGTTTGTATGGAACGTGGGGAGTATCCTCTGGTATAGCAGGCACGAGGTGGTCCGGATCATCATCATCAGGGAAGTCTCTTTCTAGAACAATACAGTTAATAGTTGAAATACAATAATTTAAGATTTTGTTTTACAAAAAAATCCGGCTTCAATTAAGGCAAAATCAGTTATTTTTATTTAAAAACTCAACTACTAAACCGATTTTAATATAATATCTATGGACACGATCTAACGTATATCTTTTAACCCTTCTTTGCATGATTTTTTTATTGGTGAAATAAATCAAGGTGGGGGGAAAGGGATCGTTGGTAATTGAGACTGAGAATCCCATTGCTAGTAATATACCCAACCAGGTTGACCTCCTCGCGATTCTTCCTGGAAACTATCATGGTTAATTCCTGATGGATTCATCATGATGGGCTAACTGGCCTGTTTTCATTCTCATCGATCACCCTTCACTGGTGCTCCGCCAGCGTATTCCGTTAGCGCAGGCGGGGTTACCATTCCATTTTCACCCATCAAAAAAAATCAAGGTGATATAATTCATGTTCAAAATTAAAGGTAAAATGGTTAAAAAAATAATTCGACAGCTATGTTTTTTTTTCTGCGATGGACATTAAAAAGGTATCCAGACACGATCAACTTGAAGTGAACTTGTTCTTTTATATAATTTTTAGGCATTTAATGTTATGATGCAAATTTCCACCATTATGCAAAGAAGGATTAAGTAAAAAAAATATATATTTTTCCTAATCGATTTTTAAATGACGGAGTTATAAGGAATTATAATAATAAATATAAAACAAAAAATGCAAACGAATCAAGAATCCCGTCCTTTTTTTAAAACGGTTGAAAATAATAGATTCATTTTGGTAACGTATCTTAAAAAAAGGCACCCAAGCAGAGGACATTCATACAAAATTTCCCTCTGATAATTTGTAGGCACTAATTTATCTCCATTCGTTTAAAAAAAATGTTTCTTATGTTTTGTATCACGCTTATAAAGTAGATAAGTAAAAATAAGTAGTATTTTTGTACAAAAATTTTAATAATAAGAACTCAAGAAAATATATAAAAAGAAAAAAAAAAACTTTAAACCTATATTTTATACAATTTTAGACTTTAGAGTAAGCCATGTTTGTAATGAATCGACAAATCTACAAGAAAAAATACTTAGAAGAGCAGAATAGAATAGAATTAATGAAATAAAAGAAGGAACGAGAAAATTATATGATTATAATATATGAATACATTAAGTACTTATTACTTTATGTTTCCTCTATTCAATAATGCACCGCCTACTTATTTGTCTGTTCGCCCAATGGTTGACTGGTAGAGAACACCGTCCGGGGTTAAGTCCGCCAAATGTACATAGAATTTTACTGTGCATTAAAGTTTAAATAAATAAATAGTATTTTTTTTTATACAACTTAGAATGGCAAACAAGCTGACGGCCCACCTGATGGAAAGTGGTAACCGTCGCCTATAGACATGAGCAGTACCATGGACATAACAGAGTATACTGTTTCGCCCATGATACCCCCCATGCGTTGCCATTCCTGAGGATTTGGGTGTTATTCCTCTGTACCCAGTAAATTCACCCATATCCCACCCTTCCAACCGAAACACAGCCATGCAAACACAACTGCTTCACGGTAGAAACACGAATGGCACAGAGGTGGCCAAGCAAACGACTTTTGTACAAAGTCTCGCTCTGGTGAGGGAATAAATTTATTTATTAGAATATGGTACAACAAGATGCCAATAGTAAATAAATTCCCATCATGTTTTGCTGTTTCCAGCGTACTAATATTTAAAAGCATATAAATTATTGCAAGCAGTAAGAGCATATCACAATTTTCCAGTCAATTAACAATTTTTCATTATATAATTATATATTTAGTAAATATTTCAATAACATACATACATACATATCTGTCACGCCTGTCTCCCATTAGGGTAGGCAGAAACAATGGAACGCCAAATGCTTCGATTCAAACAAACCTCTTTCGCTTCTTCCACATTCATCAATCTTGTCATATTTCAATAATTATCATATTAATTTACTAACTGCACTTGTAAAATGTAATTGACTCCCGGACTGCGCTTATAGCACGAATGGGGACAGAGGTGTCCAAGCAAACGACTTTTGTACAATGTCTCCTTCTGGTAATATAATCTATACTTCTATTTAATATTTGTTTACAAAGATTTGTTTATTTGTATTGTAATGCATAAACTCAAAAGCTACTCAACTGATTTCAAAAACTGTTTTCACTTATAAAAATCTCTCACAGTTATTTGTATAATTTTTATAATGCATGAATTAAAAATATTTTGTATGTATGTTGTGATTATAAATAAATACATCTTGTAATGCAAGTTTTTTATATTGTGTAAAATTATGGATACTCGTATCTCTTTTGTAAATGAGTGCATATTACTCGCAAACGATTTATTGGCTGATTGTAAATTCTAGGCTAATGTACACGGGAATTTATCAATATATTGTATAACTAGCGGCCCGTCCCGGCTTCGCATGGCTAAACATTTTTACAAAATTTTAAAAAGTGATTATTGTGACATAACGATATTAGTTGGACATATAGTATTCCAAAGTTTTTAGTAGTTATCGATATGTTCTTCAATATTGTAGAACATAGTTTTGTTCTATCACCAATAATTTCCGCAGCGCACGCGACGAAAGATATTTTATAGCATTTTTTTTTTACAACCTGAGTTACGTTACTAAAATTTTAGTAAGATTCCCTAATCTTTTGTAGCAATAAATATAGCTTACTAATGGTGAAAGAATTTTTGAAATAGGCAAAGTAGTTTTTGAGTTTATTCATTACAAACATACATACACACAAAAATACAAATCTTTCCTCTTTATAATATTAATAAATGAATAATAAAACATTATCTAGTTGTTTATTGTAAATTAATATGTATGTATATAAATTTACTTGTATCAAATGATACGCATATTTTCCAGATAAAAACCTGTCACTGTTATATTGTCACTGAACGAGATAAATTGGCACTACTATGTATATCTAGGTTTATAAATATATACACTTGAAAGATTAAAAAAAAAAATATTTAAATTTTATTACATAATTTTATTTTTTTATTTTATTTTACTTTAACAAATACATAATAGTAGGTAAACAATATACATAATTGCATTTGTGCATATGTGTATAGTTCTAATTTTAAATAATATTTTTAACCGACTTAAAAAAAGAGAGGTCATTTCAATTGTATTTCCTGTGTTTTTTACCTCATGACTGTGTCAGCTGTAAACTAATTTGTTTTTTTTACTACTCGTAGAAAGGATATACTTACCAGTACAGATTGGTTCTATAGAAATTTTATCAAAATCGGCACAGTAGCTTTTAAATCAAAATAACTGGTTTTGCCACTAGAGGGAGACTTTGTACAAAAGTCATTTACTTGCTTGGGTACCTCTGGCCCATTCGTATTTTAACCTTAAAGCAGTTGTGTTTGCAGGGTACAGAGGAATAACATCTGAATCCTCAGGGATGGCAACGCATGGAGGGAATCATGGGCGAAACAGTTTTTTCTGCTATGTCCATGGTACTGCTCATGTCTATAGGCGACGGTTACCACTTTCCATCAGGTGGGCCGTCAGCTTGTTTGCCATTCTAAGTTGTATAAAAAAAAAATACCAAACCAAATTAATATTTTTATTACTGTAGATAGATAGGTATACGAGTATAGACTTACATACATATCTGTCACGCCTGTCTCCCATTAGGTTAGGTAGAAATACAGATATATAGATAGATACTCTTTATTGTTTCCTCCAAAAGATTATAATAGTAAACTTATTATAAATATAAACAATTACAAGAAATGATCACACTGAGAAAACAATGGGCGACCTTATCGCTAAGAGCGATCTCTTACAGCCAACCATTGGATAGAAAAAAGTAATTCTAACTGTACTGCTATTAGTTAGAGATCTAGTAAAATACATACATACATATCTGTCACGCCTGTCTCCCATTAGGGTAGGCAGAAACCATTGTTTCAACGAACTATAACAAGGAACAACGAAGAAACAAATGCTTCGATTCAAACAAACCTCTTTCTTTTCTTTCTAGTAAAAATATTTGTGAAACAGAGTTTATTAGATATGCTTGCAGGCTAATAACCTTCGTAAAATAGGGCCCAGAGTTAAAGAAACTGTCCCATCAAGTTAGGACTAAGTCCTTTACTATAACCAGTTTCGTCGTAGAGTTGCAACCGAATCCTACGACTCGTTAGCCTTAAGCCAAAATACATATTTACGCAACACGTTCCGTTCGAACGAATAAATTATGTTATATTTTACTCTTAGATTAAATAGATAGAGCCCCGAGCGTCAAAAATGGGTCAACTTTATTAATTGTCAAATTAGCTGATCGTTTTCTTTTATATATATATATATATATATATATATATATATATATATATATATATATATATATATATACGTTTGTACAAGAATTAACCACTATGGTTTCCAGGGAGAACCGCGTGGAGGCGACCTGATTAAGGGTGTATTGCTAGCAACGGGGCTGTTAAATCTCATTACTAACAATCCCTTTCCCCCGTAAATAGAAGATGGTTAGATTAGTACATGTTAAATGGGTCATGAACATGTTTGCTATTCTATCATAAAATATTCGGGATAACTGTTCTATTTCGTAAGTTACAGTACGGAGTAAAGATTTACAAAACTTTATTAAACTCGGTCGAGCGGTCTCGGGGATTAGTGTGAACGGACACGATGTTTGCACGAGATTTTTATATTTAAAACTCAATTCTTCATACCATACACTTTTATTAAATGACAAAACTGCATGGATTTGAATTTTGTATTAATGTGAATTGTATTGTAAATGTAATTATTGTATTTTTTTTTTTAATAATATTATTTTCTATAGTAATTATTATAATTATAGATTGACGTATCATAAGTATCTGTAACAGATGTATATGAATAAAGATGATTGATTGATTGATTGATTGATTGATATTAGTTAACTTTTTAGTATTTGCCATAAATA